GCAGGCAGCCATCTGCAGCGCGTCCGCCTGCAGGGGCGGCGTCTTCTCGTTGTGACGCCTGTCGACTTGTTCCATCATCCACACATCAACCCAGCTCCGAACACATCCGTCAAGGGGACGGAAGACACCACGGTGGCTGAGGCTGCGACGACATCCAGGGCAGACAGCCTTACTGACTGTATATCGGCAGCACTCCGCGTGATCACGGAGATCCCCGTGAGGGGTTCACCAAGGGGGTTCACCAAGGGGGTTCACGATGAGCGTGGAGGGGATTCATCCCTTTCCGTAGCAGCAGCAGCACCGCTGTTGCTGTTGCAGCAGTAGCAGCAGCAGCCGGCAGCGGCGTGCTCGGCATGCAGCAGGGGCTGGGGGCGCAACGCGGCCACGTGGCAGGGCTGATTCAGCAGCTTCAGCAATTGCTGCTGCTGCTTCTTTGTGGATGGATTTGGTAAAGGATGGTCACGGTCTGGTAAGAGATGTCTCCATTTCTTTTGCAGGGAGGATGGTGACGACGACAGCGATGTCGGCTGTGATTGTCGGCCTGGTCGGATCTGTACGTCCCACAGGCAAGGTTTTACAGCAGGTGGAGGAGGAGGAGGAGAGAGCGATGGTGATGTTTTATTGTTGACGGGAAGCCGGGATTCTCTCTCGAGAGAGAGATATCACTCGGGATGAGACTCCAGAGGAGTGAGGGATGGTACCCGGACACTGAGGCCCACGGCCCAACTCGTGGTCCGCAAGGCCCCTGGGAAGTGTGCCACGCCACCGTCGCAGGATACTCCGATGTTAGAGTTTGTTTTAATGCTGAGCGACGTGATTGGTGCACGGTGGTCCGCTCACGTTTGTGTGAGGATTGACGGTGAGGAGTGTCACTGGTCCCGGGGGGGGGGGGGGCAGAAGAATGGGAGAAGCTCTTCTCTGTAGTGTGTGTAGTGTGTGTGGGAGATGGATCGAGGTAACGAGGTGGGAGTGTGGCATCGGACATCCGTGAGAGCTGGAGGAGGCTTGGGGGGGGGGGGAGGACCTCGGGCAGCAGTGAATTGATTGATCTTCACCTGGAGTTGCAAACGGATCACCCGACACATGGTTACTCAATTACACACGGCAGCATTGCCCCCTGCTACGACAACTTGGCAGGATTAAAGCGCCTTGAGACTCGGAGATGCTTTCCTGTGTGAACATGGGTGGTAGAAACACATGGACTACGGATTCTACTCAAACGCGGTCACCTGTAGAGCCACAACACGACAATGTCCGGAGAACTCGTCTTAGACCGCTTCACCAATGTCAACGAAGGAGGGCAATCATTCGAAGGCGTGTGAGATGGTGTAGTTCATGAGGACGACGTTGAAATGACGTGACTATTTTATCTCGGTTCGGACATTGAAGGTCATCGTGCCCGGCGCTGCTTATTCGCTCTGCTATTTACAATGGGCCGGCGCTTAGAAATCATACAACGGATAGGGATGTCCCGATGGAGAGCGGTACAATATGAAGAGTCAAACGCTCAGTCACTGAACTTTCAAATCAAGATTTAATCTGAAGATGTTACCAACTACACATCATCATCCATTATTTATTATTATTCTATTGCTCTAAGGGGGATTTGGATCGTCGCCTTGAAGCCGCCCACCCTTAACCCCTATGACCCAGACCCACTGCTAGCCCATGTCAGGTCTCAATGATCGTTACCTGTCAGGTCTCAATGATCGTTACCTGTCAGGTCTCAATGATCGTTACCTGTCAGGTATCTATGATGGTTACCTGTCAGGTCTCAATGATTGTTACCTCTCAGGTCTCAATGATGGTTACCTCTCAGGTCTCAATGATCGTTACCTGTCAGGTCTCAATGATCGTTACCTGTCAGGTCTCAATGATCGTTACCTGTCAGGTATCTATGATGGTTACCTGTCAGGTCTCAATGATTGTTACCTCTCAGGTCTCAATGATGGTTACCTGTCAGGTCTCAATGATCGTTACCTGTCAGGTCTCTATGATGGTTACCTGTCAGGTCTCTATGATGGTTACCTGTCAGGTCTCTATGATCGTTACCTGTCAGGTCTCAATGATCGTTACCTGTCAGCTTTCAATGATCGTTACCTGTCAGGTCTCTATAATCGTTACCTGTCAGCTCTCAATAATCGTTACCTCTCAGCTCTCTATGATGGTTACCTCTCAGCTCTCTATGATGGTTACCTGTCAGCTCTCTATGATGGTTACCTTTCAGGTCTCTATGATGGTTACCTTTCAGCTCTCAATAATCGTTACCTCTCAGCTCTCTATGATGGTTACCTCTCAGGTTTCTATGATGGTTACCTCTCAGCTCTCTATGATGATTACCTGTCAGCTCTCTATGATGGTTACCTGTCAGGTCTCTATGATCGTTACCTGTCAGGTCTCTATGATGGTTACCTGTCAGGTCTCTATGATGGTTACCTCTCAGGTTTCTATGATGGTTACCTCTCAGCTCTCTATGATGATTACCTGTCAGCTCTCTATGATGGTTACCTCTCAGGTCTCTATGATGGTTACCTGTCAGGTCTCTATGATGGTTACATTTCAGCTCTATATGATGGTTACCTTTCAGGTCTCTATGATGGTTACCTTTCAGGTCTCTATGATGGTTACCTTTCAGGTCTCTTTGATGGTTACCTGTCAGGTCTCTTTGATGGTTACCTTTCAGGTCTCTATGATGGTTACCTTTCAGGTCTCTATGATGGTTACCTTTCAGGTCTCTATGATGGTTACCTTTCAGGTCTCTATGATGGTTACCTTTCAGGTCTCTTTGATGGTTACCTTTCAGGTCTCTATGATGGTTACCTGTCAGGTCTCTATGATGGTTACCTGTCAGGTCTCTTTGATGGTTACCTTTCAGGTCTCTTTGATGGTTACCTTTCAGGTCTCTATGATGGTTACCTGTCAGGTCTCTATGATGGTTACCTCTCAGCTCTCTATGATGGTTACCTTTCAGGTCTCTTTGATGGTTACCTGTCAGGTCTCTTTGATGGTTACCTGTCAGCTCTCTATGATGGTTACCTTTCAGCTCTCTATGATGGTTACCTTTCAGGTCTCTATGATGGTTACCTGTCAGGTCTCTATGATGGTTACCTGTCAGGTCTCTTTAATGGTTACCTGTCAGGTCTCTATGATGGTTACCTTTCAGCTCTCTATGATGGTTACCTCTCAGCTCTCTATGATGGTTACCTCTCAGCTCTCTATGATGGTTACCTCTCAGCTCTCTTTGATGGTTACCTTTCAGGTCTCTTTGATGGTTACCTCTCAGGTCTTTATGATGGTTACCTGTCAGGTCTCTATGATGGTTACCTGTCAGCTCTCTGTGATGGTTACCTTTCAGGTCTCTTTGATGGTTACCTTTCAGGTCTCTATGATGGTTACCTTTCAGGTCTCTTTGATGGTTACCTTTCAGGTCTCTATGATTGTTACCTTTCAGGTCTCTTTGATGGTTACCTTTCAGGTCTCTATGATGGTTACCTGTCATGTCTCTATGATGGTTACCTTTCAGCTCTCTATGATGGTTACCTGTCAGGTCTCTATGATGGTTACCTCTCAGCTCTCAATGATCGTTACCTATCAGGTTTCTATGATGGTTACCTGTCAGCTCTCTATGAGCGTTACCTCTCAGGTCTCAATGATCGTTACCTGTCAGCTCTCTATGATGGTTACCTGTCAGCTCTCTGTGATCGTTACCTGTCAGGCTCGCGGCTTCTCACGACGTTGAGGGCCCCACGGCCGTGCTGTGTAGATTCTCACATTGTCGTGAACAACAACACACTGCACACTCTCTGTTGCAATGTCTTACCGGCAGCTGCTGCCGATGGCTCAGGTCACTAAGTCAGGATGACATCCAAAAGTTGCGTCTGGTCTCACGGCCTTAGAAATAATATTTATAACACGTGGAGCCAAGCTGGGGGCTGCTCGAAATCATCACCCACACAGATAGAGAGAGGCCTTTAGACGTTTCTTGAAAGAGTGCATTTGATGTTGCGGCTGTGCAAAGGGATGAGAGTTCCACACCGAGGGGGCACGAGCAGAGACGCGACGTGAGGCTGTGACAGTCGGAGACACCGAGAGGGAAAGCGGTGGTGGGGCCTCAAGGAGAAGAAGAAGGAGGAGGAGTGGGGCAACTTGGTTTTAGTGCTGCAAGTGCGGCCACATGCCAACTCGTCATTGTCTACCTACACCATGGGCTGTAAAGAAGGGCCATTGCCTGAAACTTTACCAACTGTATAGTTTTATTTTAAGGCAGTGTTATTGACGAATGTATTCAGTTTTTTGTTGTACGTATATTGTATTCTATGGTGAACGGTGAGGGGAAGTCTTTGCGAGATGTTTAGACCAGGAGATGTTTGTTTAGATAACTTAACACGATATATTTAGCTGTCTCTGCCGGCCCCTGTGAAGCGTGTTACCTCGGAAAGGAGTCGAACTAATGAACCACCATGGTCTCGTATCTCACAATCACCATCGTCAGCTTGAGAAGTATGTGCACGATTGCAGGGAATAGGGTGAGCTGAGTGGCATGAAACAGATTGGGATGAGAAAGGCAAGTATGCGCTTGGGCTGCGATGTGGCCAGGAGATGGCGGTAGAGCAATGGATTATTTAATCTGCCCGTGCGGAGTTTTGAGTGTTCCTCTTGTACGTGGTTTCTTACTACGTGGCATGAATTATATTGGCCAGATATCACAGTGCAGTTACCTCCTGGACACGTCTTGAGACGCAGTGAGGCTCTAATCATGGGTGACACGTACAACACCCTTGTCAATCTACTGCTGGATGATGGCCTCTGCACGCACTGTGGATCGTGGGGTTCATAGGACTTCACATTGGTCAGTGCGGATTGGTGAAGTCGGGGAGCATAGAAGTACTGTACAGTATATTACCCAAAGTTTTGTTGTTGCACTGCCCTCCGCAGCCAAATTCTGTGCAAATGGGATGATTGTCATGACGACGATGAGGAGGAGGAGATCGACCGGGACCATGGTGGCCCCGTGTAACGGGCCCTGCTGGAGGAAGGTGTGCCAGCCCTGTGGCCCTTGTCGGTGTGTGAGGGGGTTCTTGTGCGAGGAGACCCCTTGTATCAAGCACTGCTGTGGCCTCCGCTGGAGAGAGGGGCTCCTTGAGGGGAACGCCTTGTCTAAGTAGCCCGTAGGGGTACCCCCTGTCAAGAATGCCGTGTGAGGGCCCCGTTGTTTAGGACCCCGTTGGGGCGAGAGGCTCTGTGTGAGAGGCACCCTTGTCTGAGACCCATGGAGGAGACACCCTTTTCTGTCATGGACCCCCCTTTTTCTGTCATGGACCCCCCTGTAAGGGTCCCATTTGAGTGAGCGAACTCGCGTGTGAAAGGGCCCTCCCTTTCCCGAGAAACCCTCGGTTTTTTTTCTTGGGGACCTCGTGCGAAGTATCCCTAGTCTGATACCATGTGCGAGACAGCTTGTGTGTGTTGAGATCAGCGTTGGACTGAGGGACCCCGTGTGAAGAGCGCCCGTGCGAGAGGGGGCCCCTTGCTACCTCTTGGCTGCTTAGACCCCCCCCCCCCTTTTTCCTGAGGAGTGGGGATGGGGCCCGTGTACGAAAGACTAATTTTCCCACCATCTAACCGTCTCAATTTGTGTGGCTCTACATTGTTTCTGATGCCCCCCTGGTGCGTGTGTGGGGGGGGGGGCTCATAAGCGCGTGGAGGCTCAAGGGGGTCCCCGTTCGGACGGTCCCGCTCGCGCCGTGACGTCACGACGCGCGTGCGCGCTGCTGCCGCCCGTCGGCCATGGCCGCCCCGCCGAGCGAGGTGAGTGGAGGCGGCGCGCCGCGTCCTCGCCCGCGCGCTCCCAGCCGCGGGACCCCCCCTGCAGGGACCCCGCGCCGAGGGGACCCCTCGCGAGGCCACGACCGAGCGCCGGACCCCCGCAGAGGACCCCCTCTCCTCTGGTGCAGGAGGAATGCGAGGGCAGCCCCCGCTCCGCCCTCCCCGCTGCCTCTGCTCCAGGAGCGGACGGGGGCCCCGGACCCTGCGTGGCGGCGCGGGACGCGCGCGCGCGGGCGGCACGCGGCGCGCAATGCGGGTTGCGGGGCCCCGGCCTGGCGCGGTGGCCAGCACGTTCGGGCGCCGAGATGGATGGAGGAGCAGATCAAGATGTGGTAGCGGTTGTGCGTGGAGGAGGTGGCGGTGGAGGCGGTGGTGATGGTGATGGAGGTGGTTTTGGAGGAGGTGTTGGAGCAGTACGTGGTGTTTGTTGAGTTGGAGGTTGTGGTGATGGAGAAGATGGATGGTGGAGTTAAAATATCGTGGCGGGTCTTTCTTGCTGCTGCTTCTCCGCAGCCACGCGTGGTGGTCCTCTACGCCGGCAGTGCTGCTCAGTGGGACGAGAGGGGAGTGGAGATGAGAGATAGAGGCTTGTGAGGTCTTGAGTGCCTGCTTTGTGGAAGTTTTATCCAGGCGCAGCATTCGGCTTTGTCCTCCTCAGAGCCCCAGGAGGTTGTACTTTGCCGTTCTCAGCCTCTTGGGTGAAGATGTTCGAACTTTGGACTCATGCATGGCTAGGGCATGTGCCAGCGTGGATAGCAGATCTGTGTTTCTTTCATTTTCGTTGCCTTTGGTAAAAAAATACGCGGTGGTTTGGTGATGATCTGGAAGTCCTTTGCGGAATTGATCTAACCACAGACGGCTCAATAAATAAAATGTTCAGTAATAATCCATTGTGTGTTCATGCAGTTGGGTGTCTCCTGAAGACATAACCCTACGGCCAAGCCCTCATGTTTATGTTAAGCGCTTCACCTCCTGCTTCATTCAAGCACTGCTGTTTGTTGCTGACCGCTTGGCGTTTCGGGCCGTGTGGGCTTGTGTTCAGCAACAGTAATGCAAGATAGAGAGCGTTCAGCAGAGCACGTGAAGTTTGACTGATGAGGGGAGTTACTGTGTTCCTGTGTTGCATGGGAAGGTGAGTTTATTTTCATGGTAGAAGTGACTCCATGTCAAAACATGCTGGAGGATAGTGAAGGCCACACCAGATTAAACTTAGCACCTTCGAAATCACCTCTGCTATGAAGGGTCATTACCGAAAGCGCCGCCTATAATTTAACTATAGGGCAGTGTTATGAGAAAATGTGAGATTGTTGTCATTTGTGCACGTGCACTATTGTCAATGCAGTATCATAAACGTGATTGAAATCAGCTTTGGTGAAAAAGTGAAAGTAGCTCTGGTAATTAGGATACCACTTGCTAATGATTATAGCACTACTATTGAAGACATCTTCTGGTAAAGACAGCTCTGATATTTGAGGCAGAATTCTCTGGCGAAGGTTGAATTCTGGTGGTGATGGAAGTTCCTATTAAAACAACGATATGAGGCTTCTCCATCTTAGCTCGTTTGTAGTGATGACATGTGAGATTGTGAAGACGGTACATTTTATTGAAGTAATTACAGTATTTAGTTGCAAGTTTCGTTTAGTAGTACCTGTTTTGTAGCAAAGACAGCTCAGATTATATAAATAATGTTAAAACATAAAGGCATGTGTCAGTCCACTGCTTGATAAAGGCTTCCCCATGCTATGTCCGTCATGTTGGATGTTTGACCATACTTCACCTTGCTGGCGAGTACTGGTTTTGAAGGGGGGACCCCAGGACTTGCTTAGTTATGTCTCGCCATTGATGTTAGCTGGGCTGAGAATCGAACTTGGGTGGCCAGGTTCGTAGAGCAGCGTGCTAACAGGTAATTAAATACACAAACATGCTACATTTTAAACCTTCGTCAATCCACTGCTGGATGAAGGTTATATCGCACTGTCGATCATGATTGTTTTTCTATATTTCACCATGCTGCTGATTACAGGTTTAGTTTTAACTGACCAGTGACTTTAGTGGAATCAAACTGAAATCGTCACATTGACAGCAAATTGTGTGCTCGCCACTGCGCCACCATTCAATTTGAATAGATCATTGCAGTGAAGCTGTCATTTTAAACTTTATTATCTGTTGACAATAAGACATCGTATTTAAGGAATAGTTTAGTTTTGAAAACAATTTAGTAGTGAAGGCATTGTCTGCATTTTACGACCAATCGTTGCAGTTAAACTCTTTGGGTAACATCTCATGCCAATTAGATCTGGGAACCGAGCAGTATTTGTTTAACAAGCCTGGCTGCTGATGAGATCCAGAATGTCGAAACTGGACCAGAGTTTGCTTGCATTAACAATTTCTGCTGGATATTTGTCTGAAAAACCAATCGGCTGATGGACTAAAGAGTGTGTGTAGACAGAATATAGTTCTGTATTGTCGTGAAGGCATGGACAATTCGACAACCGGGCATGAAGGCATTGTTTAGATTTTGAGACCAATAATTGCAATGAAGGGTTTGTTTATGGTTATTTGAGGAGGTGGGAAAGCTAGCAGCTGACGGTAGTGAAGGCATGTCACGCGAGTTGGCCCATCATAGAGTTGGACGGAGTCGCAGGTCCTCCGGTGGGCCCTGCCGTGACTCGGCAAACAAATCATCTCGGGTCGTCTCCTTGTCAGGCAGGACCATAGAAACCACGTGGCGACAGGACAGGTCTGCAGACCACTATGTCCATCCGAGGCTGCCTGCTCTGGCAGGAGGAGTCCTGTTTTTCTAACCGGAAAACAGAGTCCCTTGAAAATGTCAGGAATGCCTGAGGAGGAGATGTGGCAATTGAGGGCTCGTGCGAAACGGTGATACTGTTCGGTCGGTCGGTCATCTACTTCCTTGTTTTCTCTTGTAAGAGCTGTACATGGTGTTGTTAAAGTACACTTTCGTGTACGTGGGCTGTTTGTCTAATGACACTCTTTCTTCCTGCTGATAACGACGTATTCTCTATGCTGTGACGAGCCCTGCTTCGTGGCCGTGCATGGACGGGTGACTAACATGGTTTGGATGTGCTGCACAAATACACGCAGAGCGCTTTTTAGTTATACTGTACATATACACACACTTCAAATCGTATCCCGTAGTGAGTACAAGGAACAAAGCAGGAGAGGGAGGCACCTAATAAGATGGACTGATGTAACAAAGACAGGTGATGACATTGAACAAAATGTGTGCAAGTACGAAGCGACATAACTGGTAAAAGAACAAAGGTGGATGGAGAGATGTGATTCGGCTCCATTGTTACTCCGGAGCTGACACGAGGGAGGAGAACGCAGGCCCGACGTTGCGTCGGTAATCCCACATGCCGTCGTGTGCTTGGATTGAGTGTCCAGTTTAATTTCGATAACATGCGTGTTGGCAACATCGGGACAGGTCAGTGTGATGTAACTGATGTTCCAATGTTAAAGTCATTGGTCAACAAAACGTCCGGCTGTTGATGTGCACGCCCTGCAAAGACCTCTAGCAGGCGAGTCACAATCGTGGCTATTCATAGGTTGGCGTGGAGTGTGCCATCCCTGCCTTTTGTTGTGCTCATAAAAGGGCTTTTTTGGTGGAATCCTTGCAAAAAAACGACAACAAAGCCGAACGTTTTGCCTATAATTCCGAATGGCAGTCTCGAAAAAATGTGCAGGTCTTTGCCCGAACGATGTGGTGGTTGGTTTTCCCCGAGTCGGGTGGGGTGGGGTGGGACTCGTATTTTGAAATCGGCCCTTGGCCTAAACGAAAGAGCGGTAGCAGCAGCGGCGTGTCAGCTGATCATCCGGTGGAATGAGCGGCGGAGGAGGCGGCGGTGGCAGCGGCGGCCATCTTGGGCTTGTGCAATCCCCACGTGTTCCTGATGAGAGGGGGCTGCAGGTGGCGCGTGCCGCGGTGCACGCGCGCGGGCCACACGCGTCCTCGTGGCACGCGCCCTGCGTGCAATTGGTTGCCCGTCCTTGGCCGTCTGCTGGGAAGTGGCGAGTACAGTAATGGCCTGGAGGTGTGATGAGCACTTTTTCAAAGGTTGTGTGTGGAGGCTCGGGCAGCAACCTCGAGCTCCTTTTAATGTGAGGCGACCTTCATTACAGCCCCAGCATGCCAGCCAAAGCCGGGCCCACTGTTTTTGAGAGTGCTATCGTGGGTATTTGAAAAGTACTGTACTCTCTTGGCTTCCTTTTTGGCTAACTGCAGAACTTCTGCCATGCTGGCAGTCTCTTTGCAATCAATGGATCTTGCAAAACCTGCTGGGAAAAAGGTGGGGTTAGTGTCTATAGCTTCCAGTTGTGGGTTGTACGTCTGTGCTGGTTGCATCGATGAGGTAAACCTCTTGGTCTGCAATTGATGATGGTTCCATGAGTTATTTCACAACGCAGATGAATAGCTGCCAAAAATACCATTTGCTTGCAATGCTCAGGTTGATTTGTTCTCTGAGTGGAAAAGCAGAAAGTTGGCTTTTAGACTTTGCAATTTTTTTCTACCCTTGCAAGATCTCTCGAAGACAAAGTAGTAAAGCGTTTTAATTGATGGCGAGTATTTGGAATAACATCTGTTTGTCGTTCATCTTGCTAGTCGCTTTACACTTAATTGCTATGTCTAAAGGCGTGCGACGTCGTTTCCGATTTAAAACCGTTTCAGATGGTGCTGGCGTTCGACGGTTGTTGCCTCTGACCCTTGCCAATCGCGCTTTGTGAAATGTACACGTCAGTTTCTAAAGTGCACCGTATTGCAGCGGCTGGCTGGTGAGACGATTTGCTTTTAGCAGCGAGGTCATTACTTTTGTCCTTTTTGGAACGACGCATCAAAACAGGGAAAATTCCTCCGATGTTTTTGGCCCTTGTCTTGTCTCGTGGTCTGCTGGGAAGGCTTTAGATATGGACATTGACCTGTAGTAGTTCCCACAGTCTATTTCATCTGTTGACAGATGACCATCGACACACACGCATGAGTTCCTACTCACACTGCAATTATTTGCTATAATATAAGTACAGTAATTAACAATAATGCAAATTCAAGCCATTTTGTTTTTCATATTTGGTGCAAGCGTTATTTCAACCCTTTGTTAATCCACTGATGGTTGAAGGCCTGTTTTGTCCATACCTCACCATACTGGTCGTCGCAGGTTGTTGAAGGTTAGGCGCAGGTTCAGACAATTCACCCCTCGTGTTGTGGCTGGGAATGGAAGTATGGTCGTTGGGTTCACAGCTCTAACCACGGCACCACCGTCGCTCCATTAAAATGTGGCTCTACGCATTTGAATGTTTGGCTTCGTGAGAACGTTTTTGGTCTGATTTTATATTTTCGTTGTTGCTGTACAGGTTGATAAGGAGGTGGAATCCCAGGTAACTGTGGCTGGACGCGACTGCAACAAGGTTGCGGGTGATATGCAAGGTATGCAGCATGTTGAGTTGCTGCCAGGCTCGAAAATGTGCTTATTCGGCAAATTGTCTTTTTAATAGTGCTGCTTGTAGTGTCCCAGAAACCTTCACATATGTTCTACAGATTGTCAACAAAGTCCCAATACTTTAATGCTGTGTATTCCATTATTTTCACTGCAGAGCTGAATCTTATGCCTAATCCGTCCATGTTTGTCTGGTCTTCTTTTACACACCACAGCCAGGGCAAAAAAGTCTAAAGTTAGAGATGGTGCTAATCTCCCATTAGACAGCCATGGGCCAGTGGTGAAAATTCCCCATTCTTAGAGCAGGGATGATTCTATCTGTAGGACAACCACAGCTGACTGCCCTACATAGTGATACCTATTTGATTCACTCTGTAGGGATGGTGATCTGAATAAACCCCCAAACCAGGATTCGAACTCCAACTTTACGAGTGGGGGCTTCGCGATCGACCGCTGAGCCACATGTGTCTGTCTTGGTTTATTTAGGTACTCGGCAACCTAGAAAGACAATGAAATGTAATGTCAGAAGATTCAGAATCATAAATGTTTTTCCCTGAGTAAAGCCCATTGACCTAAGAAGATCTTTTTCAATGATGACTCGGTCGGCAGACAACATCAAAGCATTCCACGATGATGTAGACTTGTACTTGACAGTGTATTGATACTTTGTGAACACTGTAGAGTGAGAGGGGCCGGGTAACATCCAGGGTTAGAATGCAGGATTCACCCGCCCAGGGATTAATGAGGTTCCCAAGTGCAGCGAGTTGATGATCTCGGCCTCATCACTAATGCATGCTTTTGTTAAGTTAGCGTTTTCAAATTTTCTTCTGCTTAATACACCTGTCTTCCACTTGACCAACCAGCACTGACCAGTGTGGTGAAGTATGGTCAAGCAACTTGCACGACCAACACTTGGCGGGGAGGCCTTCATCCAGTGGAGGACTGACAAAGGGCTTACACTTATAATTATGAATGCAGCTCATGACAATGAAACATTTTGCATTAATATACATGATGAATGCACGTTTCAGAGTATAGCAAAGGTCTGTGCCGAGTGTGGATAAATAGGCAAGTGAAGTGATTTCAGACAGTTTTGCTACTTAAGCCTCTCAGGCTGTTCTTCAACATGGAGGTGCACTTTGCTAGAATCGTTTTAAATGGATGCTCTTCCATTTCGCAATATGATTGCAGTACCACATGTAGGGCAGCAGTGGGCAGTGCAGCAGCATCCATTGTTTGACAATACTTTTATGGTCCCATTTCTGTGTTCCCCACCTTGACCAACCTGCATGGTGAACTAATCCCCCCGTCCTGCACGGCAAGGCTAGGCACTCAATCAATCGTGGATTGATATTATATCGTTACCCTGTATTTCCACTGCTACAAATGCGTGTCATACCACAACGTTCTGTCTTCACCACGTTGGCCTGTCTTTATTACTTTGATCTGCTTTAACTTGCAAATTATTCCTTCATGACAAACGATCGTGTCTAGCTACCGAGATGGCTTATTTTTTTAGAGTCGTTTTAATAGGAGCACACATGTAATGATGGTGGCACATTTGGAATGTAATCAGATAAATATTCTTGAGTGAACTTTGCAACAGGGAAATCTTGCAGAAACTCTTCCAGGTTGAGTCTTTATATATTTATGTTGGGCTGTCACCCCTTACCATACCTTTTGACAACAGGAGGTGACTCCGGACTTCTCGACAGGCAGTTGACCGAGTTGGAGACCACCATCAAAGGATATGATCATCTGCCCAAAGTGAGGGCCAGCAACGCTGACGGGCTTAACGACGCCAGCGAAGCGAGGCCTTGCAACCCTCCTGTAGAGAGGCCCGAGAAGGCGACTGAGCTTCCGTCACCGGTCAAGGTGGAAGCCGTCCCCTCGCAGGGGTCGCCTGCCGGTGACGTGACGCCAAAGGGGGCCTCTGTGTCGGTCGAGTCGCCCGCTCGGGTCAACTCCCCTCTGCGCCTTCCTATCAGTATCATCCCCGGCCACGCGGCCAAATCCCTCAGCGGTGTTTCCAACCGTGCCAAGATGTCTCTGTTCATCATGAAGCCTACAGGTGAGTGGCAGGAGGTGCGGTCTGTGCAGGTGGTGCTTCAGGAAATAGGACGCCACATCAGAGGTTTGGGTTGAGCTGCAGCTGAGTTAGGACATTTTCTGATTGACCGACAAGCGAGGAATTGCAGTATTCCTTAAGTTTCTATGAAATAAACACAGGTAGAAGTCTGTCATTCTCCGGTATTGAGAGAGGTGAATGAATGCATGTGATATCAAGCTCATGAAAAAAGAGACGTACCACTCGAAATTCAAGCCAGGATGAATAATTACTCCAAGATTCCGCATCTTAGAGAATGAACTGACGTCAGTCATCATACTGATGCCATAAACTTGATGAAGAAAGTTGGGAGAACCCAGCAGCATGATCTCGGTCTTGTCAGAGTTATGCTTCAAGAAATGTATGTTCATTGTCTTCTTGACCTCAGAAACAATGTGACAGCACTTAAATAGCAGCATTGGTGCCAGGCTGGTCTGCCAATACGTTTTAGTATCATCCCCATAAAAATTTTCATTTAAACCATAGTGACCAAATATGCTTCCAAGAGGCAGCACGTAGGATGGTGAACAGCAAAGGCCCTAGAATAGATTTCTAGAGGACACCGGTGGTCAGCGGGTGGATGGACAGCCACGCATCGAGACGCACCGCCTACGATGTGTCCGCTATAAACCAAGCCAGGAGAGAGCTGCACTAGTGATGACAACCAGGGTCTCACGGCGGTTTATCAGAATGGGATGATCAATTGTATCGAACACTGCAATAATCCAGCAGCACCAGGACCGAGAGTGAGCCGGGGTCAGCAGCCATGAGATCATTTACGAACACGTGCTGTTTCGGTTCTGTGCAGTGGCTTGGACGCAGATTGAAACGGCTTTGAAAAGATCATTGTTTGTAAGATGATCCTGAATCTGCTGAACTACCAGAAACTCCAGGATTTGAGAGAGAAACAGGAGGTGTGAAATCGGCCTATAATTAGGCATGACTTCAGAGTCAAGGTTTGGATTCTTTAACAATGGTCTCACCGATTACAGTTAAGTGATGTTGCCATTATGCCAGTGCCAAGAAATTTGTTATCTACTTTGAAAATAACCAAACGACTAAGAATATGGAAGATCGAGTTAACCAGAGAAGACGGTATTGGTTGATGAACACGATGGGTTTATGTTTAGAAACCAGATCAATGAGCTGAGACAGAAATGGAGATGTGAAAAGATGCAATGCACAACCTAGGATGTGCAGGATGAAGTCAACCGAGGCTCAACAATGACAGAACAATCAATATTGCTAATGGCATCGATCTCGGACTGAAATGATCCCAAGAAACACATTACATTGGGCTGTAGGACCAATGAGGTTAGATGGTTTCAGCATCTGCTCAAGGGTTTAAAAGGGAGTACCAGGGTTGCCAACACCATTCCTGATGAAATTAGAATAACATGTTGATCTGGCCTAGTTTAATGCATCCCTATAGGTGGCTTGATGATGCTGCCAGATCTGGAGATGTTCCTCAGGGTGAGTATCCCTCTATATTATTTCTAGCTTACGTCCAAGTGACTTCAGACAACCAAGATGGTCATCTTACCAAGGCGATCATATCCTTAATGTTCGAAGGCTGAAAAGATAAAGACGTTGATGAAAGAACAGTGTCAGCAAGTTTGGAAACCCGTTTGGTTCTAGCCGAGGTGAGGGCCATCTCGAGCTCAATGAGGATGACCAGATCATCAGAAGCAGCAACATCACATGGCAGCAAACCCTGCACCGACCACGAGAGAGCACGCGAACCGCAGCTTGATCCCAATTGTCAGTTGGAAATTTACATTGTGAAACAAAACCAGAACAATCCAAAAAATCCTGGAATTCCTGGGCCATATTACACTTGCTGGAGTCAACTTGAATGTTGAGGTCACCCAAAATGAAACTCGTATTAAATGAAGGGAAAAGGAATGACAACCATTCCAACAATTTATGAAGAGTTGGACTTTGACGATAAATTAAATAATGAGTGTGTTTGGAGGTGCCAGTTTAAAAACGAAACATTCGAAACATTAATAGCAGGGGTCGTTTGCAGAGTGAGTTTAAGATCGTGATGGTGAATTTCTGGAAGGCAAACCACCCTGCCAGACAAACGGGCCTTCTCAACAAAACCAAAACCTGAGCCGGCTACCTGGTTCGCCACGTAACAATTATTCTGACAGTGCCACGTTTTGGTCAAGCAAAGGGGAGGTCATGGTTGTGGTCAAGCAAAAAATTGTGTAAAAATTATGCCTTACTTGAGGGTTACAGAATATTAAGAAGAGCCACCTCAGCAGATGCAATGGTCTGCTCGGGACTCCTGGGCACTGAAAGTGGAATATATAACGACATTTACAGGACTTCAAGCAATCGCAACCTGGAAAATAGAACGAAAGCTTTGTTGGCAACTGCTAATTGTCCAAATAATATGTGAATCGGAGGAACTAGCCCAGCCATAACGGGCAGGGCCTGGCCAGACCCACATTGGATGTAAGGCGGCAGTGTCTCAAGGGGCTGAAGGAATGGTAGAGGGGGGCCATCTGTCCCGCCAATGCCCTGCTGCTGCCCTTCAAGTCCAGGCTCGTGACCTTTTTTTCCCCTCTGCCTATGACAGTCACGTTTTATCTATAAACAATATATACGCTGAATGTTTCTGTACAGCATCTGTTGTATTTCGTTGCTGTTAAACCCAAATTGCATCGCATTGTACTCGATGTTCTTGAGAACATAATTAGTGCTCGGGCAAAGTTTAATTGCTCCTTGCACTTACGCTACGGAACATACTAATCCACCGTGTAGGCGTGTGACGATGTGTTGGATTGAGCGAAGTCGACTATGCTCACGACACATGCGTTGAACGGTTGTACGTAAGAGGAACGTGTGACTTTTGCAAATTTTATTCAAATTCTATGGAGATGTCCACTTTAGGCTAATGGAATGCATGAGACAGAACATGCAACACGAGATAAACAAGATGTTTATCGTGATAACTTGTACATCATAAGCATGGCACGAATGCCACATCAACCTAATGCAAATGAGATGGTGCAAACGAGACACATTATACTGATATATTGTTTTTATTGAATCGTGGCATTTCATTAAATCGCGTTGGTAACGAAGTTGTAAGTTCTAGCATCTATACTCCTGACTGTTGCCATTGCTACTCCAACCTTATGGATTACATATTTATCATGACTTCGAGGGTGCACCGACCGATACAGCGGTCATTCCCAAAACGTGGGTCGCTCGCATGTTGTCCCGCCACAGCGACCACCGCGATGGCCGGTATGGGCCACAGCAACACACCCTCCAAGCCGGCAGGCACCACCATGGACGCCAAGCGGGGTCCTTCGGAGGGCCCGCAACAAACGCCTGTCACGGAGCCGGTGAGGGTGAACCGCGCACGGAAAGACTCTGCCCAAGCCTACGCCGAGCCAGGTAAACGGGAACGAGCCGAGCGGTGTGGTGCTGTGCGATCGCCCAAAATGGACGCCCGCGCGCTTATTGCCATTTTCAGTGTGATGGCTTCCCGTCTGGACCCAACACAAGGTACCGCTCCGGGAAGCAAGCGGGACAGAACAAGGAGGCAGGTCGGTGCCGGCGCGATGCCGACGCCGATGTCGACGCCGACGCCGATGCCGACACCGGTGCCGGTGCCGGCAGTTGCAAGGTGTCGGTGGCAGCCTGAGGAGGAGCCCGAAAGATTAACGAAGTGACGCATGTTCCGCCGAACGGCCAGGGCAGTCAAGCACAAATCGATTCGCCCAAAACACCCACCAGCAACTCCACCACCACCACGGGACCAGGGAGAAACCTCAACTCCGTCAGCCAGATCAGGCAGGGGAACTCAACGCACCTCAACAGCCAGACCAGCCAGGCTAGCCAGCCTGGACAAGGCAGCCAGCCTGGACAAGTTAGCCAACCTGGACAAGTTGGCCAGCCCTGGCCAGGTCAACAAGCCTACCCCAAGTCACCCACTCGCATAACTCAAGTAACTTCATCCATCTGGAGCAAAGTGACCAGTCAAACAATGTTCATGCATACAGCCAGCCCACCCAAGGTGATCAGTCAAACAAAGTCAGCCAAAACAGCCTGCCGAGCCAAGTCGGCCAGCCCAACCCTAGCCCGGTGAACCAGCGAAGCAGGCTAGCCCGACTAGCAGGCCGTGTCCATCAACAATGGCACCGAGGTGAAGCCGCCCCCCTAAGAGCGGCGATTGGCGCTCAGGCCTCCAGCGAGGCCGCAGGGGGACCCGGCGGACAGGCCCCGAAACGCCCCCGTCGGACACCGTCGGCCTCGCGTGTGACGGGAAGGGAGCTGCCACCTCCTCCTCCTCATCGGGTAAGCGAAAGTCGGCAGCCTCATTGGAAAAGTAAAGTGTTTAGTATTGAGCTGGGATATCCATTATTTAAGTAATCAATTCCTCGATCATCGGTTCCATTACTGCCACGAGCACGGCCTTGCAATTGCTCGTTCACACCACTGCTAGCAAAAGGGCCTCTACGAGACAGAGCTTTAGAGAGCTTCTCTCGAGGGTATTTTGGCCTGGGCAAAAGGCCTCCCGTATTGTCTTCCATTGCTTCCTTTCCCATAGACTCCGTTGTCTGTTTGTGTGGCCGTGCCTCCAGCCCCTCGCAAGAGGAAAAGGAAGATGGGGCTGTACCAGCTTCGGGCAGAAGAAGAAGGGAAAGCCGATCCGTCAGCGCACGCTGATGGAGATGCTGCAGGGAAAAGTGGCGCAGCCCGAGAGAGATGGACGCGCAGAGGTGTGAGACGGTGCTTGCCAACACTGACGATGAATGCAGAAGTTCTGTGCATCGTTTCTATAGGCAGACACACGTATACACGAACACGAACAGCCGCCATTCGCCACTGTGCGGTGATGTCACCACAACGCTTGTGCCAAGTTAGGTGCACTGAGGCCATCGCATGATGTGTCAAAGGCTCGCTGACAGGAGGTCATGGAATAGACACAGTGCCATGGGTTGACTGAGATGACTGGCAGAGGCACCAGCTGTGCCCCCTACTGTGCCAACTTGCTTTGTTTTAGCCACCCGGCGCTCCGCTCTTTATTGTGAGCTTCGCTGCTCTGTCGTCCGCTGTTGTTGAGGGCGACTGCCTCCAAATGCCCAGTAGCGTCCTCCCCACACGGACACACACACACGTCTTCATTATCGCAGCCATCGGAAAATGCATTACTATGATTACTTTACTATAATTTATAAAAATGGCATGGCTAATTATTTATATATTTTTTTTGTGTGACACACTTGACCAACAATTACCTACTATAATCACCCAGAAATGTCTGTCCGTCCCGCGCGTTACGACACTCCACATGAGGCCCACCCCCCCTCATTAATATTCATGAGGGTGGATTTTTACACTAACGCAAGAGGAAGGTCGAGCTGAATTAAATAATTTATTGCGCAAAGTCGCTTCAAATATGATTTTCTTTACAGAAAGTGACGGTAAAAAATAAATCTATGCAGCCCAGTGCTACATCCGTGCGTGACGTCACTGTAAAAGAGGCCCCCACGCCCCCTTCATTAATACAGTGGTACCTCGGTATACGTCGTTAATTCGTTCCAGAAGGTAGGACTTATACCGAAAATGACGTATACCAAACGAATTTTTCCATAAGAAATAAAGGGAAAGGAAATAATCCGTTTCAGAGGAAATAAATGATATTTTATATGGCATATTATACATTATTGGGGTTGTATATGAAAAAATGTAGACACTAATGACTAAAATGCATACAGAAGCCACGTGACCGCGCTGCTTCCAGCTCCGCTGGTCACGTGGCGTGCCTCAATACCGCACGTCGCGCGCAGCCTCGACCCGGGTCTCCACCCTCCATGGGGGCAGCCCGCCGCGCCCCTCTCCCCCACCTCCCCCGCCCCTCTCCCCCACGCCACCCTGGCCCTCTCGCTTTGTTTCAGTCGTGAACGGGCATACGCGGGTACTGTACGCGGTGACTCATCCCAACCCATACAAGTTCATATCAAGCGCAAGACGTCGTATCCAAGACATTTTCTCTCTCGAAAAAACACGATGTATACCAAATTCGACTTATTCCAAAGCGGTCGTATACCGAGGTTCCACTGTATTCATGCCTGCGTGGAAATTTACACGAACGCACAAGGAAGTTTGCGCGCTCCACATGCCGCACCCCTCACCTCATGAATAATCATGAGCGGTCGAAGTCACTCCACATGCCGCACCCATCCACAATGACCATGAGGGATGACGTCACTCCATATGCCGCACCCCTCCCCAATAACCATTAGCAGGTGATGTCACTCCACATGGGGCAACCCCCCTCCCTCATTAATAATCATGAGCTGAACACTTTTTCTATTTCATATTTCAGATTTACTGCAATATACACCCGTCCTTGGACGGGAAAAAAAAGCTAGTAGGAATTATGTTAGCCAATGGTGTGGAGCGACAATTACATCTGGCCAATAAAGATAAAGTTTATTGAAAAGTTAGTTTTATAAGCAGCAATTGGTCTACCAGGCACAACCTTGGGGAGTCATGTGGCCTCAGTGCTCTGATTGGCAGTTGCCATTACAATTTCTCACTTGGTGGGGAAGCAGCGAACCGCTTTGTTTCAGATTTGGGCAACTGCATTCTTTTTGTGCAGAAGCTAGTTACCGGCAATGGTTGCCATATCATTTTACAAGTACATTGCGTCATTTATGGTGACTGATTTTACTGTGTTTATATATCTTTAAAGTCTATCTCAGGTTGGTTCTAGACATTTTTAAACATTTTCAGTTTAAAGCCCAGGCCTGCTTTTTCATAGCCACATAAAACTCAATCCCGGGACCAATTGAGATGTCACCCACCTTTTTCGCGATCAGGTGAATGAACTTCTGGTCCACCAGGTTAATAACAATTTAGAAGGTTACAAATGGGTTATAGGAATATCACCTTTTCTAAGAAAGAAATCTTAAATCGCCAGTGAGGCAACGAAATGTTTTATGAGCAGCCTAATCAATTTTATATCCAGAGATGGAAATGTAAATGGATACGTGGCGAATTTTTTTTGCTATGAATAGAATTTTAAGGAATCTGTAGAACTATTGTGGAGAGTGCCAGGACAGACACAGGAAAGACCTCTCGGCTGTCGTTGCCAGTATCGTTAACACGGTGATTATAATTTGTACACTGTTGAGTGTATGTGAGTGGCGTACTATTCAATTCATCATTTGCTGAGTAACCTCCCCAGTGGCCTAAAAGGAAGGATGGGCTCAGCAGGCTAGAAATGCAATGTATTAAACCGAATATTGACATGACCGGGGGAACTGATTGGTCAGGAAGTTGCTGAGTTGATCTGGGCACTGTTGAGATCCTGGGTTTTTTAACTTCCAGGCAGCTGCCTGTGAATTAAGCTGGGTTCTCAAGTGGAGCGAGTTGATGGTTGAGCCCTCACACCAATGACTGCACAATTTGATTAATTTAATTTGGCTAAAATGCAGCTCTGGGAATTAGCGGTTTGACTGTCATGTAACGTACATTTCTCTCTGAAGCCAGGTGGGTGGTAAGTACTGCCTCTTACTGTGGGAGCAGAGGTCACTTGAAGGATTGCAAAGATTACTTTGTTGATATCTCTTTCCACGGACCATGAGTTGCACTGCTCTGTGAGATTTGCCAATGGAACCTCATCCCCCCTAACATGACACAACACGACCGTGCTGGCTTTATGGCGCTTGCGGCACCGCTCCGTGTGGCTGTTGTGATCGGTGTGGTGCTTCGCGCGTTGTGATGCAGGAGTGTGACCGGGCCTCCGATGGCGAGAGTGACCGAGATATGGCCGACCCCTCGGGCGACGAGACCCAACCACCACATGTACGGCGGGCGTCTGGTAATGGTCGCAGCACCAACGCCAGCCGTACCGCCCCGCCCAGACACCCACACGGAGCCCTCCCGCCAGCACAACCACGAGGTGGCAACGACCGCAAAAACCGCAACTGTGGCCACAACTGCACCCACGGAACCCGCAACCGCAGAATCTGACAATGAAAAGAAATTATCGGCGGTGGGAGCGTCGACTATTGCGTTGAATGCCGTCGGAGGCGACGCGGGGTCGGAGGTCGCAGCTGCTGCTGCAGTGGTGGGAGCAACAGTTGGAGCGAAGAGAAAATTGGAGATGGGAGGAGGAGGCGGCGGCGGCAGTGGCAGTGGCAGCGTGGGCTCCCACACATCCCAGGAGTCTCGGTCGGGAGGAGCGCAGTCTCTGGACGGCGATGTTGCAAGCAGCAAGGTGCATTATGTGGAAATGATTAAAATTTTATGTTTAAGCGGCCGAGAGAACTCAAGAGACCAGGATAGTGAGCTGGGTCATCAAAATGACAAGCAAAACAAAATAAAGTACATACAATAAAGGAAATCTAATTTGGCAAGAATAAATGTTCATGTGAGACTCTAAAATATTGCCTAAAAAAAATACAATCACCATTGTATAATTACATTTCCTGCAGCGCAAGTTCTCTCGGTGCAGATTGTTTAGACTGAGCAAGCTCATATAAATTACAGAAACTTAAGTTGAAGCTGTGTATTACTGTGCTATGTAAATGGCCAAGGATATATGTGTCATTGTCAATTGTAACAACCCAAGTGTGTCCTTGTCATTTAAAATGTAACTTCCTGTAATTCCCCCCTACTGCTAGGGCCCATTTACAGGCGTGCTGCACACACCTTTTGTCCTGCACAGGGATAGCTGCCACTGGGAGTCCCCTTAGCTTGGCTGGGCGGAAGGGAATTGGAATGGTTGAGATGAGATGTGAATATATCAGGCGCTTGACTTTCTTTAGGCATTTAAGCAAGGGCCCTGTACTTGCAAATCCTTATCTTGTAATCAACGTAATAGTTTTCAGCCTTTGTCAGTCCACTGCTGGATGATGTCCTGTCCCCATGCCATGTTGCTATGGGGGTAGGGGTTTGTCTGCCCATACTTCACCTCGCTGGTCTGTTGACAGGGACATGCGACAGCACAAATGGGATAAACTGGGGAAAAAAGACGAATAAGCATATTTACATTTAAATGACGTACCGCTCTTAGCGCTCTTTCTGTTGCCAGTGATCGTGTGAGGAGGAAGGGCGAGGTGCGATGGTACGAGCGACCACGGAGGATGACGAAGGAAGAGAAGGGGAGAGGTCTGAGAACCACTCGGGACGTGGTGAGGAAACCTCCTACCACCTCCTCCACCTTGTGGCTGGGGGTCGCTCTCAGTGGGCGATGGCCTGGCGCACGTCTCACCGGACGATACCCGTTTAGCAAAGTGTGTGCGCGTTCATGTGTGCGTGTGTCAGAGCTCCGGGTCAGCAGCAAGCGCAAGCGTGCGGGGTGCAAGCAGAAAGGGGGCAACCCTTGGGTGAAGCCCAACCGACGGCGCAGCCCGCGTGGAGCGCCAGAAGTACTTGCAGCGCAGCGGGCAGAGTGAGTGCGCAGTTTTGATCGTCCGGGTTTGGCGATTGGCGACGCCGAATCAGGCGGTCGTTTTTATCCTGGGTGTCAAAACTGAGATGGATCACGCTGGTCCCGAGAGGGGTAGGTGCTGCAACGCCTTCATCAGCCGTCGTCCTCGTGATGGTCATCAGCCATTAATCCACAGCTGGATGAAGGCCTCCACAAGCCATCGCCCATCTCTCAGGATCTTACACTGTAACAATTCGTCACGCACCTGCACGAGTTTATTTCACTGCTCCATCTCTGCAGCAGATGTCCTCTCGGGGTGTTCCCTCCTTGGCTGTCATTCCATCGTTAGTCTTCCCCACGGCCATCACCCATTCTAGCCGTGACGTACCCTGCTCAAGCCCATATACGTAACGTTCAGTGTGATGTCTCCAACACGTCTCTCATTTGTTACAGGTATGTCAAAAATCTTGATCGGCGAGTATCCAATTTTAGACTCGTTTTCATAAACAAATTCAAATGTCCAGAGGAACGAAATGATGATCAAATGGATGACACGACTCTTTCTACAAGCCTGTAGCTTAGTATACCTCTTTGTACCTTCCGTGATTTACTGAGGCAATTCTGCTTTGCTTCCAAGTTCTGATGAGATTGGGTGCATTCCACGTCGTTGATGAACGGAAATGGTTTTTATTTTATTGTTTATGTATGTTGTTTCAATTTCTTTTGAAACGCAGTTTTTAATAGATTTCTCTTTCTTTTTGCCGTGATTTCTATTTGTTTCTTGTTCGATACTTTTGTCATTTCGTTGACCCAGGTCACGCTTCCAAGTGAGGCTCATCCTGATCTCTTGAGTTCTCAGCTGGTTAAACAAAATAAAGTTGAAACGTGAACTCATTTAGATGGCGTCAACAACTCATTATTACGGAAATATGAATACTTTGCCCGAGCTGTCTGGCTGCTACTGCACCACAACAATCCCTCCTCTCTCTCTTGTCCAGCAGACGCGTCGACGGCGCTGGCCCCGCCGGCCCCGCCAGACGGAGACATCAAGGAGAGCTACACGGCCACGGCGCTCAGGGAGCTGCCTGTGCCGACGCACTCGGTGCTGTCCCCGCACACCAAGGGTGAGCCACCCTGTGCCTTGCACACACAGGGGGGTGCGGGTGGGCTGCGGGTAATCGGCCCTGTGGCACACACACACATAGGGGGGATAGTGTGTGTGGTGTGGGTGACCGACATTGTGACACACACAAAAGGGTGTGATGTAGGTGGTGTGGGCGAACCTCCCTGCGTCACACACACACAGGGGGCGGTGGTTTGTCGTGGAGCACCTGCTGGGAAAAGTTCCACAATTTTCTGCCACTGATTGCAAATTGACCCTTTGCCGAGGGGACCCCTCATATTGGAAGTGGTTTTCCGCTGGCTATTTTCCTTGCCCAGCCGGAAACCTAACCTTGACGTACTGGACTCACAAGACAGTCTGAATTTGGCTTGGAGCCATGCAGGGCCAGGAGGTGCGGGGTTAACAGCTTTCATCGTACGTTTCGGCAGTCCGTACACTTGAGAAAGATGAGCAGTGTGGGTGCACAGCCACATCGACCCCATCATTGCTTGTGACATCAGTGGGCACACGGCTCTAGTACCACAGTGGAAACAAAAGTCTGGAGCCTCCTGAGTCATACCGGGACTGGCTTCGCATGGCCCTGATGCTGCAGCGGGACTGTGGAGTGGGGAAAAAAGGTTTCCCCTGGGCTCCCTCCCCCTTTCCCTCGCTCATCCCTCCCTCTCGTCCGCTCGTCACGCAGAGTCGAGGCGCAGCTCGGACATGGAGGAGGGGCTGCAGGAGCTGCCCCTGTGCAGCTGCCGCATGGAGGCACCCAAGAACCGCGAGATCAGCAAGCTGTCCAGTGGCAAGTGCATGGCCACGGAGAGCACCAATGGGCAGGTGTGTGTGCGTGCGTGTGTGCCCAACCTATCGTTATTAAAATTATAGTAAGATTGGTATTAGCTGTTATTTATCTGGGAAAGGCGCAACAATAGTTTTAAGCAAGGTCCCTGATGCGGATATGTGGATCACTTTCTCTTTATTAAATGTTTATTTCTCAGTACGTATGTGTGCACTGATGCTAGTGGTTTCTGTGTTGACGTCGGTGCTTTCCAGTTGATGCCCGGCCAGCTTCTGTGGTGACCCCAGTGTTTCTGTGGTGGCGCACCAAGCCGGTTTACTAGTGGTGAGACCTTTGTTACAACCAGAGGTTGAGATGGGTGACTGGCCTCGGTTTCCGTGGTTGACACGGGTGGTTTCCTGGTGAAACATTGTTTGGTCTCTGTGAGTGACACGGTGTTCCCGTGGTGATTCCGTCCTGTCTCTGTGGTGACGGCGAGCAGTTGACGCGGTGCCTTCGCTCGGTGGCCAAGCAGGAGACGATGCGGCCATCGAGCCGTGTTGCAGCTCATGGTGGTGTGGCGAGAGAAAGCACCCCCCCCCCGCCAAGATGATGAACGCACCAACTGCTGCCCGGGGTGCGGCTTCTTCTGCTCCACGGTAGGGTGCATGCGTGACGCTCGTGATGCACTGCGCGGGGGTGCAACATAACCATACCACGCCTTCACAAGACCAGCGCTGGTCTCGGTTGATTACTTGGGCACCTTTCAAATCAGTAGCTGCCATTTTTAAAGGCAGGAAGCCCCTCCCCAACAATTTAGTAGAGGCTACACGTGGAGGAGGATCATTGTCCTTTAACGCTTGCACACTCGGTCTGAAAGCATTGATGCCTTCGCTCCCTCTCTCTGTCCGTCCGCCTGTCGGTAACGAAATGCGGGAAATTAACTCTCCCAAAGGTAATCCGATGAGAATCACATTTTTTGCAAAGTTGCGTTGCTGTTTGGGACTGGCCAAATTGATCAAAGTGTTACGCAACACTTGGTGGCAAACTCATGCTTAATAATAAAACCAACACTAACACAAGCCTTTTAAGCTAAGGTGATGATGTCACATGGCGTGGGCATTTTTTCTCCACGACGTAGCTATGGTGTGACGTTATCTTGCGAGGACAAGCACATGTTGGTATGCGTTGCAGGGTCCGTGTTGCGTACGCGTGATTATTCTCGTTTGTATTAATTTTTTTCTCCTGCGTTCGTGTTGCCCCAGGGCACGTTCCTGGAGTGCCAGCCGGACGTAGGCATCTCTCACCGGTTCCACGTGCGCTGCGTGTCGCGCCTCAACGGCTCACTCTACTGCCCGCACTGCGGGGAGGAGGCCTCGTCGGCGCGGGAGGTCACTGTCTTCGCCGCCGACGCCGCTGCCGCTGCCGCCACCATTACTGGCTCGGCAGCGCAGTCCGTGCGGGCCTTCGACAGCCTGCACATGCGCCCCGGCGGCACCAGGTGCAGCGAGAGCGGTGGTGTGGTCGTGGTGGTGCTACGTAATCGTGTGCAGTGGGACATGTGATAAGTAGCCACAGCTGTTGTGTGTGGTGGGGTGTGGTTGTGTGCAGAGTGGGATGGTCCCGTGTGGGTGCATTGTGGAGCGTGGTGGAACATGGAGGTGTGTGGTGAAGTGTACTGAGATTTGGTTGTGTGTGGTGGAACGCGATTGTCTATGATAGGGCCCGGTTATGCAGTTATTGGATGCTGTCAAGTGTGTATACACCTGCCCAGCTCTGAGCTTCCGCATTTTCCCATCGGCAACGTTCACAGAGGACTCCACCGAGTTTCTGTGCTTGAATCTCGCGTGCGTCAATTTCTGTGCCGGCAGCGCGCGTATGCGTCCGGCACCCGAGCCGAGCCGTGCCCAGGCGGCGCCACCGGCCGCAGCCGTGATTTCGGCGAGTGCGGCGCCGGCTTCGGCTCCGTCTGGGAGCGAGGGGGAGGCGCCGCTGAGCGAGGGGGAGGTCGCCGGCCCTGCGACGACCCTCAAGAGCGGAGCGGTGATCTCGGCGACGGGGCTGCCCTCGGCCGGCAGCAAGGAGCTCCTGGAGCAGGCGCTCATCACGCTGCACACGGAAAGGTGCCACCTCCCCCTACCTCCGCCCAACTCCATCTCCTCCCTCTTACCTCCTCCCTTTTCCTCCTGCTGCATCTCTCTTCCCCCGCAGTCTCCTCCCACCCCTACTCCTACGTCTCCCTCCTTCTCCCTCTGGTAGTGAGCACGGTGTCGTGCTTGCCAGAGTGAGGAGGCTTCGCAGAGACCGAGAGGAAGGGGAGAGAGTGACTCATGCCCCAATGATAGGGATTCACCCCGTTATAGTCGTTTGTAGTTTTCACAAGGGGCCACTGTTGCTATACAGTTTCACCCAATTAGATAATTTGTGAGTAGGGTTGCGGGTAGTCATTGCATCTCAAATGAGTTGAATTTCAACATTTCCCTGCAAGCCTCCACAGATCTCCTCCCCAACAGCACACCACACCTGTGGGTTGTATGCAGCACCAGCCGGGCTTTTCAAAATGGTGGAGTGGTTAAGCAGCACTGATGAGCCTCATTGTTGGGTCAACAGGTCAAACGTAATGGAGACGTCTAGAAGCTGTTCTCCTTATGAAAGTCAAACTGACAGTAGACACGTTCCCGTTGACTGTCTGGTGTGTGGATGAGAGATTGTATTGTTTATCGTTGTAAATGTGAAATTCTGTGCCGAGCCCCGGTTTTAACCTCCTTGCGTCTCCCCCACGGCCTGCAGACCCAAGAAACTTCGCTTCAACCCCAAGCAGTTGTATCTGGCGTCACGGCTGGGGGAGCTGCAGAAGGTGCTGCTGATGTTGGGTACGATGCGACGGGCGGGCGGGCGGCTTTGTCAATAGCAGTGCCGGTTAACAACTGGTACGAGCAGTCGATGCGAGTCGATTGATCAACCAACTAGAAGATTGTGATTCACTACCGTTGTTTCTGTAGTTAATTGCGACATGGCCTCGCGTGAGCGCCCGCTGCCTGTAGGCAAATATCAGTGCTGGCAAGACGAAGGTCGGCGCGGTTCTGTTCATGCACCATCCACCTCGTGCGCCTTGCCGATCATCATACCTGCTCGTTGGCAGCACTTGCCCCAACAGTCTTGTAAAGGCCAATTGAGGGATCTTTGTGCGCAAATGCGTGCGTGGCGCGTGCGCGTGTGTGTGCGTGCAGTGGAGGGACTGGACCCCAATGTGGCCATCGAAGGGCAGAGGAAGAGAACTCCGATGCACGGGGCGGCCGAGAGGGGCCACGTGGAGGTCCTCCACACCCTCGTGCAGGTGGCCTTCGCACGCTCGCCCGCACCAGCTGCACACACGCACACTCACACTTGCAGGAGCTTTTCCCGATTACGTTATCGGTGTTGTGTCATGAGACGAAGAATCCCACTTTGGAACTCTCACAGAGCAGAGGGGACCCTTAGTGCGTTGTAAAACAGCGGATATCGTAGACCATATTTTGAAGTCCGTTCCAGTAACGTCTGGTATATGTAGTAGGGGGGGAGGTGGCACCTTCCCACCTAAACTGGTGCCGTGTTTTTGTTTTTCTGAATACTTTGCAAGCAAGATTGGAAGCATTTGTGCGGTAGCTATGGTTGTTCGTACCGTGGGGGTCACTACTGCTGTCTATAAATATAACAATAGGTTGTACCCTTTCTGGCAATAAAAACATGTGTTAAGATGTTAAAACACCAAACAGAATCCTTTTTCAAGGAATCCTGTCTGCAATAACTACACGCACTTGTGGTGAACATGCAAAAAAAAGATGCAATTACCTTTGCCCTGACAGCTACCAATCGAGGACGAACGTGTGTTGGAATCCTTCACACAATCCACGTGCGGGCCGTGATCTGTTGTCACTTGTTTGTA